TGCATTCGAAATTCTTCTGGAACATAAGTTTTGGTGCTGGAAATGTTACGATGGCTTAAAAATCTATATTCAATCTTAATATAAAACTTAAAATTCTAAAAATGATGTAGATCAAGTAGATATGAAAACACTTAAAAATCTTCAAAAATAGATGGTCTAGAGCTAATATCAGGGGCCCTTTTCAAAAATCTATGTTCCCATGGGAGCATGATGTGGATCTACTCCCTCACTCAAAAATACCTATTTAAGCGCATTTGCGTTCGAAAATTTTGAGAACCATATAAAAATTAAATAGAGATTATATCCTAAAAAGTTGAGATTTGAAAAATTACAGCTAGTGTGGATTTTTGTTGAGAGAGTAAATAAATAACATGCTCGAGGGAGTGAAAATTCTTTCGTGTTGAGTTGGACAATATTACGGTACTTAAATTACCGTAATACTACTTTAAAGTATTACAATATTTTAATTACCATAATACTCTATGTTATTACGGTAATTAAAGTACCGTAATAGATGTTTATGTTATTACGGTACTAGAAGTACCGTAATTCTATCTCTATTTACATTGGTATTTTAATAACCGTAATCGTCGCAATGCATTACGGTAGAAGGGTATGGGCAATCATCCAGAAAACACTGTAAAATTGGGAAAAAGGGTGTGGGTAAGGTTTTGGGAAGTTGGGGGGTTTTTTTGTGATTTTTTTAAAATTAAGGTATATTAACGATAATTTCCCAAGTTTTTTCTAACTTAAGAGCACTCTTTTCTATTGGACTTTTTTCAAGTTTTTTCTAACTTAATAGCACTCTTTTCTAGTGTACTTTTGAGGTGCACCCTACATGTATTTATAAGGTTGCTACTTTATCTAAATTTTCTCCTAATTTTAATTAAACCGTCAAACCATGTCATCTAGCATCTTAATCTACTAAAAGGGCATTGGCTTTAACATCAAATTGCTTTGAAAGACCTTATTGTAAGAAATGGGAGAAGTGCGTAGCAATTTCAAAGTATTTAACATTTGACAACACAAGTGAATTTTTTTTCGGATATTGCACCCAATGATGGACGGTAGAAGAATGGAACAACACCCTTTGAATATGCACAACTATACTCCCAATATTTTACATTTAAATAAAATAAAACAAACAATTAGGATTTTGATCATTTTTTATAATCTTTTAATTTAAAGGTTTCTACAATTTTGGTTAATTTGAAATTTTTGGCGTCCACAACCCTCAACTAGGTATACAAAATAATTTGCAATAAATAAATTAACCAGAATGTTTTAAATGTGGTATGGGTATTTTGGTTAATTTGATTTTAAAAAAATTGAAAGATGTGGCTATATGGAATTCAAGGCAATAAAATCAAAATTTCTTTTTATTTATTTATTATTGAATGTAAATTCCACTTACAAGTACTATCATACGTTGTTGTAAATGAAAATTAAAACTCTCAATACAACCTATGACCTTTGCTTTTACAACCAAACTAAATAGATATAATCCATGAATAAAAAACCATGTGAGTATTATCAATTTAAGTACAAATAATATTTGTGAAAAATTATAGTAAATATGGAAATATGATTACAAAACAAAAATATTTGTGTGTGGAAGCCCAAAACTTGATGGGTTGATTTTTGGCAAATAAAGTATGAGAAATAAAACATGAAACACATATTACAAGAACACATAGATTTACATGGTTTACCCCAGAAAGGCTACATCAACGGGCATGGCAAACAAAAATCCACTATACTAATGAAAGTTACATCAAAGATTTTGGGACATAGAGTTACTTCTCTAACTTCGATCAAAGTATACCATTTTAAATCACTGTCCATTCATTCTCTTTACTTCCAGCGACTATTATCGACAACATTAGATAGAGACGCGAGACCAACGAGACACTGACTTTCTCTCTAACTAAAATGGAAAACCACCCAAAATTTTCATAGGAACCACTTCTCTACAAAAAACAAGCATCTCATTCTTCAGAGTCTACAAGAGGCACCATTGTAAAGTTTCCCTATATATGAAGCTTGTTTTTTCTCTAAGAAGAACCCTACATATAAAGCTTTTTTTTTCTATAAGAAGAAACCTTGCATCTTATTCACAGGAGGCCATGTCCCCTTCTCTCTCCAGAGGAAACCACCTTTTCCATATGGTGACCCAAATAGGACACACAAATTCTCTACACTTTCATTCCAAATATATAAGATTAAGAGTCCATACTAAATAGGAAACTTCCTATTGATCTTACATATATCTCAAAATCAAGAGATGTACCCAAGGGTCCTAATATTTTTGGATTTCTATTTACTTTGAAACTTATCAATATCAATCTTAATCCCATATAACATGAGATTTCCTTATGTGGGTGATTTTGGATATCACCAAATCCAACAAAATATACTGCTGGGAAGAACTACTTGATTATGCTTAGGGTCTCCCTCAAAGGACTTAGTACACCCTATATACCCAATTTCTTGACCAATGACATACTTCAATCCTATTTGTCTTGTTGAATTTTTAGAGTTTGAAGCTTCCTTAGGCAATACCTCTTAATCTAGGGTGGAGAGCATCAAAACAAAATTATAGCATGCCTAAAATAGTCACCTCACTTTGTTTAGAGTTAGACTACTCATCTTTCTACAAAACTCTAATTAGGGTTAGGCTTGCCATTCTCTTTAATTTGTTTGTGGGTGGCGTGCCACTATATTGAGAGATGGGGGGAGATGGGCACTATAGAGATGAGAGAGAACTTTGGGGAGTGGAGTGGAGTAGAGAGGGAAATAAGAGAGAAAGAGAAGGCTAGAGAATTGTAGAGAATGTGAAACAGGTTTACATTCTTATAAAGGCCTTAAGAACTTTTCTATGTATGTCTATCTAATAACTCACCTTGACTAATAGGAACTTAGAAAATCCGTGAGGTGAGAAACAAATCTAATATATCCATCCCACAAATCAAATCGTCTTGATTTCGGGAGCCATATTAGGAACATTATCCCCTTAATATTTGACACATATCCATTCATACTCTAATTAAGATTAGACCAATTAAAAACCATCTAGAGCTTCCTAATTTATAACTTATTGTAGGAAGTCAAAATAATATTTCTTGTCAAAACTATCTCCCACAAAAATGAGTACGCACAACTTTTATTTTTTATTTTAAATAGATAAGCTAACTATACTTAAAACAATTTTAATCAAAGCAATAACTAAAAGAATAAAAAAGGGGGCATGCCAGCCCTATAGGTAATATGTGGCTCCTATGGGCCCCATACCCGACTCATGGGAGGTTGCACCCATATGGCTGGATTCAAGGACCTCATATGTGCCCTTTTCTACTCATATAATTTTAAAAACATGTTTTTTCAAGGAAATTACAGCATAACTAATTTTCCAACCAACTTCTCTTTTTATCTCTCTCAGAATTTTCCAACCCCTCTCTCCTCTTGTTTCCCCAACCAACCTCTCCATGCGTGTTTCCCAACCCCACTCTCTCTCCCTCATGATTGTCCCAACCATTCTCTCTACCAATTGTTAACACATACTGTTTAATGTTGCAGCAATATCATGAAAATGTCTTCCATAGATTAAGCCCATCACCAAGAGATTGAGTAATGGAGAGAGAGAGAGAGAGAGAAAACACAGAAAGAGAGAGAGAGGGGGTGGGGATAAACAGGGAGAGAGAGGGATTTGGGAAAACATGAGGGAGAGAGAGAGTGAGAGACATGGGGGAGAGAAAGAGTGGGAAAATAGGAAGAGAAGAGAGGGTTTGGAAAAAGTTACGGAGAGAGGGATTTAGGAGAAAACAATGTTTGTAAAATCGAACCAGAACGGTTTACCGGACATGGGACCAAAAGCGGTTTAACCGGCCTAACCGGTAAACTGGTCGATGCAACCGTTCTACCCGGACAAGTCTCTGATGGCCAAAAAATTGTTGAAAACAATAAAAAAGATGAGAAAAAAATCTACTAAAATATGAATTGCATATAAGGAATTATTAAAACAAAACACATTCAAATGAAGTTGAAAATTAATGAAAAATAGATTTTAAAAGTGAGTAAATATTAAAGAATATATTTCAAATCAAATTTTTTATTTTTGAGATTTTATAAGTATTTTTTTGAATTTTTATTTTTAAAATACCGATTGATCACCAAAACCGTATGAAACCGGAATTGACAAGGGGCCGGTTCCGATCTAACCGGGCGGTTACGGTTAGATCGGGTGGTTTTTCAAACAAAAGGAGAAAATCACATGAAGAGAGAGAAAGGATGGAGTTTAGAAATGATATATCTTTATTATATTTGTTTGGGCAAAAAATAAAAAAGATAAAGTTAGCTTAAGGAGTTAGAAGCTATACAACTTATAATTTCTATGACCCAATATATGTTTTGAAACCTTGGATCTATTGAGATATTCAAAATAGAAAGTATGAAAATATTTTTCTTATAAATAATTGTGACTGAGAATGGTACATATGGTTATAAATAAGGGTGAGGTAGGTATAAGGTTACCTCCTTGTGTTGTATAAGTAAGGTGCACCTATAAAATTTAGATGTTATTTGTGGTCGAAAACTTTATGATGGTTTCACAATCTCTTTTTATCCTCATTTATAAAATTTAAAAATCCTTATTTATAAAATTTAAAAATTTAAAAATAGTACAGATCGAGCAGATCAATAAACACTTGAAAATCTTAAAAATTATAGATTGAGCAGATTACAAAATACTTGAAAATCTTGAAAATAGAGGGTCCAGATAAATTACAAAATACACTATTTTTTGGATTTGAATTTTTTTTTTACTTCATGTCCATTCATCTCGAGGTCGAGATGATCAATTAGATGATTTTCCTATGCCGAAACACTCTTCTAGTGTAGGATTTTTGAGATGCACCTTACTTCAATAGCAACCTTATATAAAAATTTTCCTATAAATAATTGTCACCTCCTCATGTAAGTGTAAAGGGAATGGTCTCCTTGTTTACAATCCCATATTTTCCATAAAATTAAAAAGACAATCTCCCTTGTCCATGAGGCATATACCGCCCACCACCTGTGTATGTAAAAGAGAGGGACGAGTATTTAGCGTTAGATGCATCTACAAGAGGAGGGAACCTGGAGAACATTCTCACTCGCTCTGCTCTTTTGAATTTCCTCTTCATTTCTTCTTGTTGTTAGTTGTTAGTTTTATTCATGTGTGTGAGAGAGAGGTGGAGAGATGAGAGAGAAGCTTCCCATATGCAAGTTCGAAGAAGAGATCGTGAAGGTTGTGAGGGAGAACCCAGTGGTGGTGATAATAGGAGAAACTGGCTCTGGCAAGAGCACTCAGCTCTCACAGATCCTTGACAGGCACGGCTACACCGATCGTGGAGCAATTGCCGTCACTCAACCACGACGCGTGGCCGCTGTCTCTGTCTCCAGGTCTCTCTCTCTTCTGCTGTGTATCGATGCATTCTTTTGTACACGGTGTCTGATGAATTAGGGAACGGGACTTGTTTCTTTGAGCGGAACTTGTGGCATGTCCTGTTTCTCATCTTCTTTAAACTTAGTTTTCTCTTTTTGAAACTGATGCTGCGAAAAAAAATTTCAAAATTCAAATTATAACTTTATTATTATTAATTTTGTTTGAGTTAGGAGGTATGCAGGGATAATTAGGCGGGCATGAGTTTATTTTGGGCTTGATATTGATCAATTGGATTCGTTATTCTCTAAAATGAGGAATATAAATAAGATAAATGTTAATTTTAGGGGTTTATCTTTTCAACAATAACTAACTTTGGGAGTTGGAGGCTTTAGGTAAAACGTGTTCTATCTATTTATAATAAAATCCTTGGCCCGTGAAGTTAGGAGAGAGAAAATAGATATTAGAGAATACAGGCTAAGAGAGAAAATAGGTGTTCTGTCTATTTATAATAAAATCTTTGGCACGGAAAGTTAAGAGAGAGAAAATAGGTATGAGAAAAAATAGGTTAAAAGAGAAAATAGAGAGAAGAGATAAAGTAGGAAAAGTCCAGAGGTTTTTTTGTTTAGTTATTGTTTATCTTCTTTTTAGTCTATTTAAAGGGAGATCTCTCTTCATTAAATAGTGAATGAGTAGAATAGAATTTGGTCATTGCGATAGATTCCCTCTCAGACCTTTGAGAGAGGGTATATTCTCTCAAATTTTTTTTTTTATTGTTATTTTTTCTGGTTTTATTTTCTCCCTGCATCAGCAACATTTTGTAATGTGCCACGTTGAAGTTGTTGTTTTTGTTTATCTTTGATGGGATTTAGCTTTTGAATATGGATCAATTATTTCCCCTTTCAAATTTATGCTTAAGGGCAAAGTATTAATGGGTTTTACCTGTTGTCAATGTCGTTATACGCATACTGAGACTTTGAATGTTGGCAAAATCTTACAACTCATGGGTTCAATGTATGATGGTTCACAATCGAGTTTTGTGAGGTTGAACATATTGTGACAAGGACGTGTCTCTACATTTGAGGAGAAATAAAAGTATTAGAATATAACTATGATTTTAAGTGTAATATGGAAGTAGTTTCACATGTTAAAGCTAGTGTTTCAAAAAGCACTAGGAGGAACCTAGGCGGTCGGGGGGGTCCAGGTCGCCCAGAACTTGGGCGGCCCAGTAGAAAAATATTTTTTTTTGGTTTTTCTCACTCTAAAATAGCCTCTAATGGGGTTTAGGTTTCAAATGAACCTAAAACCCACAATTTTGCCCATTTAGTATTAAACCCAAAAATACCTTCAAGGAACCGCATTTTTGCCTTTGGGTAGGGCCCAAGCCTTGGGCGGCTGCCTAGGTGGGTTCAGGCAGGCGCCCAGGGATATCCACCTAGGCGCTGGGCGGTCCGCTTTTTGAAACAGTGGTAAGAGCAATGCCTGAAAACTCCACCGAGTCCACTCAAACTTGGCTCCTCGTTGAGCCGAGTAAGTGGGTTTGACATCCAATTCGGGCCCCTTAATGATTTTTTTATATCTTAAAAAATTTGGATTTTTTAACAATGATTTGTGAGTTTTTTTTTATATAGCCTATTTTCATATTTTCCTCTTTTTTTGGTATCTTCTAAAATATCTCGAACCATAAATCAATTTTTTCTAAATCCATGTTTTATATATTTTTTAGCTTTTTTGGACTTTTTATGTTGCCATTAGTTTTTCTTCACTTTTACAAATTTTATTTTATTTTTAAAAAATTGTTTTTATTTTTATTTTTTATTTTTTAAGGTCTTTTGGCCCCGTAAACTACTTAATCAGGTCTGCTTGGACTCCGCCAAGTTATTCGCTCAGGCTAGGGTTGAGTTTGGGGCCTGAGGCGAGTTAAAAAACATTGTATTGGAGGATCCATACACAGCATCCAATGTACTTTTTGATGCAGTTGTTCCTAGAATATGTGCATGCAGGCCATCACTTGCTGACTGAAAGAGCAGTGCTTCTGAGTGTGAATGTGAATTTACCCTATTTCATGGCTATTCTAATTTTTTAGCTTTATTACTGAGATTCTTTATCAGCTTTCTTAGTCTTGTAGATGTCCTGTTAGTCAGTTTGCTAGACATTAACTCTTCCTACTCAAAGTAGCATTGTTCTAGTTGGATTGACTGATTTGGTAGTAGATAATTTTAGAATTTCCTCTTTTTAGAAAATTTCACATATTGTATGATTTGTGAGATTTCTCTAGGTGTATGTGCTAATACTTTATTCCTTACACATACATATGCATGTATGCAGTTGTAGTTTAAGGGGATAGTTGACAATTTGTTTTTGCTTGAAATTTTGAATAATAGAATGATGTTTATACTTGTAAAGATTACCAATATCGTGTTTAGCTGTTTTTTTATCGGTCTAATTTGTGGATGTACCAGTCTTTTCTTTGGTTTAATAGTTTTTGAGTTATGTAAAGAAGTTTCACTGTTTTGCTCATAGGAGAGTTGCGCATGAGTTAGGTGTTCAACTTGGAGAGGAAGTAGGGTATGCCATCCGTTTTGAGGACCGAACTTCAGATAAAACTCGCATAAAGTATTTTCTATATTCCTTTCTATGTATCTTTCTTTTTGACTAACCCACTTTTTCAGTGAAATTTGATTTGAATTATCTTGAGGTACAGTTGTTCTGACAAAAATTCTTTGAACTTTCAGATACCTGACTGATGGTTGTCTCCTTCGTGAAAACCTTTCTGATCCAGAGCTAAAGCAATATTCTGTCATCATATTGGATGAAGCTCATGAGAGGAGTTTAAACACGTACGCTTAATGTTTTGCAATATTTTTATGAGTGTTGATTGACATTTTAGAACATCAAATACTTTGCTGGCGAGCACAAAAGTTGGCATCTAGCTTTATATATATTTTGAGATCGGTTTGTTCTGTTTATGGAAATTTGTATCTAGTTGCAACAAATAGGTAGGCACGATCTCTGAATTCGACCCTTAAGTTCTGTTGCGAATTTTTGGTTGTATGGTTACTTCATTTTGTTTGTACAGTCTGAGCACCTGCTTTGTGGGATTCCTATATCCACAACTTGTGGGGTTTTTGTAACAATACCTACACTTAATATAGTCATCTTTCTCTCAAAAAATATGAGCAGTAGTCTTAATCTTCCTCTTCATTAGTTGTCTGTGAAACATTTACTTTGAATCAGTTTATTTACTAGTTTCTTGCGACCATTTATCATTCAATGCATAAATTTAAATGGGAGATTGGTTGTTTCTAATAGAAAGTTTCTAATAGATAGAACTTTCCATTATGTTTGTGATTTTTAATTCCTTTTATTCACTTTTTACACCTTGTGAATTTTTTTTTTTGAACTATTCCTTTTGACATTTATGCATCCCCTTTCTTGTTGATTATTTCACACTTGCCATATTTCTTTTATTAGTTTCAGCTTAGTGTAAATGTCATTTATCTCACAGTGGTCTCGTATATGCCTTCCTAGTATTCATTGGCTCCTTTCTAACCACATAAAGAGAAGTCCTGTTTAATTTGATTTAAGTTAACATCTTTGTATGGTATAGTTTCCTTCCTTCATTCCTTTTTCTTTGTAGACATTTTAACGGGTAGGTATGGAACCCTTGACATCAACTTGTGGTGCCGCTACCCTGACCATCCAGGTCAAGGGTCTTCCTTCTTCCGTTCCTTTATTTGCCCATGGATTTCTAATTTTAGTTTCTCATATTCTTGATTGTAGTGACATATTGCTTGGCTTGATGAAACACTTGGTTCGGGTACGGCATCTAGATTTGAGGGTTATAATCACATCAGCAACTTTGGATGGGGCAAAAGTATCAAATTTCTTCTCTGATTGTCCAATTCTTGCGGTGCCTGGGAAGTTGTTCCCCGTGGAAATATTTTACAGCAGTGAACCCCCAAAAAACTATATTGAATCTTCCTTGAAAAGTGCTATTGGTAAGCATGCAGCTATAAATTTTGTTTACATAGTATAGTTGTACAGAATAAACTTTCAAACTTTGATGATTTGCATTATTTGGTTCTCTTGATTATGTTCCTTACATAGTTAGCAAGTCGGGGGAATAATAATATATCGGCAAGCCAAAACATTGGCAATGAATTGGTGTTGTTTGAAAAAGTCGGTGGAAAAAATAGGGTAAAAAATACAGATTGCCAAAAAATGTGGTAAGTTATAAAGTCATGAATAATTCGAATTTGTCTCAAAAAAATGGAGTGAAAAAATCAGATATGTAAAGATGACATAATATAGGAGTATGATTTGCAGTTATTGTAAAGATACATTAAAGCCATTGAACAATAATTTTTTGACCTTACCTAGTGTCGTTAGAGTGATACTCGACAATTTATTGTCTAAACTTTCAATAAGTTCAACAACAGTGCTTACTCTGTTGTCACAACACGAAATATATCACATATTTATTTAGAGCATAAAATGAAATTATAAATAATACTTAACACAAGAACTACATTAGTAGATAACAATAATGGTAAACTAAGATATAGGATTATTGTTTGAAGAAAAAAAAAAAAACGCAAAAAAACCCTCAGTATAGGATTGCAATTAACTAAAACAAAATGCAGACCCAAATACGTAAAATAGCTGTCCATCCAAAATACTATGTTGTAAACACCAATAAAATGAAAAAAGAAAAAATAAGAATAATCAAACTTCTCTTTATATAAAGAAAGCAACAAAATGTTTAAGCAATTTTGAATCTCACGCTGAATTCCTAGCTGCTTAAATCTTTAAGCAATTTCGAATCTCTCACAAAATGCTCTTTATAAGGATCCACTGGATTTACAGAAAAAATAAAAAATATTTTCCATTGGGTTAGTCTTCTAACTCTGCCTATTATTTTGAGATATACAATTGTTTTGATATCTTATTTCTTGGGGAATATATTGTTTGTAATTTTTTGTAATCATTTTTTAAGGGAAATTATTGGTGAAGCGTTTTGTGGAATTTTACTTTAAATCAAGATTCTTAATTTACTCCTACTATTAATTTTCTTAGCTTTAAATAAAAATTCAATAATACTAAGTTGATGAAAAAATAAAGTTATAGGGAAGAAGTTTTTTTGAACTTTTTTTTGAAATAAATACGGGTTTACATCGGTTCCGTGAAAAAAACGCGATTTTTTGAAGATCTTTTGAAAAACTCGGAGTTCTAAACGGATTTCAAAAACTCGGAGATTTTTTGAAAATATCGTGTTTTAAACGGAGACTTGCTAACTATGGCTCCTTATCATGTTAAGTCTATGATTATTGGTACACCTTTCTTTGATTATGGAATACCTCTTCATATTAGAACACAGGCTTGGTTGACATTGTTCTCTTAGTTAAATGTCGTGCGCATCCTATAAATTGAGCCCTTGCGAGACATTAATACTGTCAAGCAATATGAGTCACTTGCTAAAGCCAAATGCTTTCCAAAATCTTGAAGAATCGAGTGGGATGAAGTAGCCTTAGTTGATTACCAATTGATACCAAGTTACTATAGTTATGATTTTTTGTGAACTTGTGAGTCATGCAGCTGTACCTGGTTGTTACAAATATTGAGGATGAAAGAGTCCCTATACTCCTGTGAGTTGCCTTGTCATGTTATATGTTCTCTTCCTCGTCCCTATACTCCTGCAAGTGGCCCTGTTTTTGATAGAGGGAAATTGAAAGTGCATAGAAGAATCAGCAAGACATCAAGCTAAACACAGGCAACAATCACGAGAAACCTAGGGATTCTTCCTTAACCCAAACTAGGATTTCAAGTTAGAGACCACTCTCTCTCTCTCTCTCTCTCTCTCCTTGCTGTAAAATTACGTGGAATGACCCCTTTAAGCCCCCCATACCTCTTAAATAGTAGTATTTAACGTTCAAGGACATTAAATATTTATACAATGATCAAAATGAGCCCCAAAATCCTAACTTAAACACAAAGTTCGTAATGACAATCTTACCCCTGATATTTTACTCTAAGTACTTTTCTAAACTACTAAACAATCTTAAAAATATAAAAACCCTATAACCCCAACAAATTTTAAAACCCTAAAAATAAACCCTAAAATTAAAATTAAAATGTGCATCACTTAAGATTAAACAAAAATTAAAACTAAGAATAATTTTTTCCTACACCAATCTACCTTAGTTGTAGAAAACTTGTCCTTGAGTTTTGAAGTAGGCTCAAATGAATTTTGTGTTTATTCCACAACCTCCTTCAACCAGAAAATTGTGCTTTGAATCCTTGGAACTGTGGGTTATTGGCCTAATCAAAATACAATACTTTTGCATTATGATTGGGGCTTTGAAATCATCTGATATGTTCATAAACTCTTTTGAGAATCCCTTGAGGAAAAAGTCATTATATGTCGATAGAATAATTATGATATGTACATTTGGTTTAGTCGCATAAACAAGCTAAAATTGTATTGGTTCAACCATATCACCCTGCTGAAATTGCCTTGGTTTTTTATTTGGAGGAGGACATTCTTAATTTTAGTGCAGGTTATATCCAAAATTAGCATGTGGTAGATTGAGATTTATAACCAATCTTTAATACGTGCTTAGATGAAGAATAAGATCTTGTGGGAGATACGGTCTATGATGATAAACAAGAAGGAATCGAAGGAGAATCAATAGGTGAAGTTGTTGGTTCAACCATCAAATTAAATGCTCATTTTGAAGATGCACCCATCTTCCATTCTTGGGCTTAGCCAAGGGAATTTCAACAGTGTTATAGGGATGAATCGATGCAATTTGAACAAGTTAAGTGGCTGAACGGACTCTATCAACATACAATGACCCTTTGCTTGATAGTTTCTCAAAAAAGTTTATGAATATATCAATCAAGGTTTAAAGAACGGTGCACCCAGCGGCTAGGTGCCCAATACACCTCTGTTTGCACGCCTAGACTTGGGCACCCCATTCTGGATGGCTGTACCTGGGCGGGAGCTTAGGGATGTGGGCCTGTTTTTTATTTTTAATGATGCCCAAAAGGGCAAAAGGGGTAATTTTGATCCCCAAAAAGGTTTAAATAAGTTGTGGGATTTTATTTTCAACCCCCCAAAGTTAAAATAACACTTCTTTAAGCCCTCAATCTCTTAGCTATACCTATTTCTGATAATCAAAAGTATTTTTTGTGGTTTGAAGAAGCTTCCTAAACTTTTCTCTTATTATGAAATATGGTGAGTTGGTGACTAATACTAATACATAGCTTGTTAGACTTTTAAATTTTCTAATTTTTTATGGTTTGAATTTTGTAATTTTGAGCAAGTTTATTCTCAACTTGCAAAATGTCATATTCAAGGCCCTCAACTCGGTGCAACGCTTGAGGGCCCGACCTAGATGTATTTATGTTCTTTTTAATGTTTTATTATTTCCTTTGTTCATTTATTCTTATTTTTAAACACCTTCAAAGACTTGCTATGTTGTTTTCCTCTACTATTTCGTGAAGCGTCTTTGGTTTTACACAAGTTTGAGCGAGTCGCTGGCTGACTATTTGCGAGATAGAAGTCTCTTGTGATATCTATTTCTCATATATTGGAATTTGACGGAACCCATCTCTCCATAGATTTAAATTAACACGTTTAAGCACTCATCGGGGTAGGACTTTAAGTAATCTATTTCCTCCTATATTTCGCATATAAACAAGGGTTTATTTAGGGTATTGACCTTTTATCTCTTTGTCTTAGTTATGGACTATTTAACTAGGCACCTACAGGATGAGGTACCATGGTGCATGTTGTTCGCAGATGACATAGTTTTGAGTAATGAGACTCAAAACAACCCCAAAACAAAGTTAGGAACTTTGGAGGGATACTCTAGAATCCAAAAGTTTTAAAATTAGTGGGACTAGGACAAATTATGTGGAATGCAAATTTAGCAATAATATAGGTAGAAATGAGGAAGTAGTTGAGATCGATGGCTAGGAAGTATAAAAAAGACCACAATATCGATATCTTGGGTCGATAATTTAGGAAAATGGAGCGATTGAGGAAGATGCCGCACATAGAATTAGAGTTGGGTGGGTGAAGTGGAGATGTGTAACTGGAATTTTATGTGATCGCCGCATACCAATGAAACGAAAGGGCAAGTTCTATAGGACAGTTACGAGGCCAGCTTTGCTTTCTGGGGTGGATTGTTGGGTAGACCAAAAACAATATACTCATAGAATGAGTGTAACGGAGATGGATGTTGAGATGGATGAGTGACAAGACTACAAGGGATAGAATTTGAAATGAATCCATTCAAGGAGAATTTAGGTATGGCACTAATAGGCGTCAAGATGAGAGAGAATAGACTTAGAGGGGTTGGCCGTGTGTGGCGCTGACCAAGTATAACACCTATTAGGAGGTGTGAGTTAGGTCAAGTAAAATGACTGAAAAGGGCAAGGGGTAGGTCCAAAAGGACGTGGTTGGAAGTAGTCTGAAAAGATATGGGGGTTTATGGCCCCACTGAGGGTGTGACATTTAATAGAGCAAAATGGCAGATCAGGATTCGTATAGCCGACTCCAATTAATTGGGAAAATGCTATGATGATGAAGATGTTTTTTTAGGGATCTAAGAGCTTTTTATATTTTTAGGATTTTTAGAAGTTGTTTAGAAAAGTACGTAAAGTGTCTCAGGCAGGCGTCCGACCCTATTTTGGGTGGCTGCCTAGGTACTTGGCCCTTTTTTCAAGAGTAAAGTGCCCGGTCTTTTTGGCCCACAATTTTTTCATAAAAGGCTAGTGGTGGTAGTCTAAACCCTCAAAGTGAAAAATTTGGAACCTAGGCCCCCAAATCTATTCATTTTGAGATATGTGAATCAAAAAAATAAAAATAAAAATCGGAGATTTCAAGAAACATCCATAAGGTTTCTCTTCATTGTTGGAATTTCATCCATAAGCTTATACTTCTCTTTTGTATTTCATCATGTTTAGTTGTGATAGTGTTCATGTGTCAGTATGGATTACGCCAAACTTAGTTTGGATCAGATAGTTGGAGGTTGTCACGCCATCGACTTGTTTATGTTTTTGACTTTTTTTCCACTAAACTTTCAATGGTTTGAAGTTTTAAATGTGTTTCAACATTCATGTATATATATTCGCATGGAAAATGTTAGTTAGAATACATATAAATGCAAAAAATACAAAATTAACAAGATATATATGCAACTTTTCACCAGAGAGCGCCAGGCTGGCCACCGAGCGTTTTTGGAAACACTGGGCGCATTTGTCATGGTGATATGAAATCTCTACATTTACCTTGTTCTTTAAAGTCCCTTTGGATATCTTGATAGCCTCATTTGGCCTTATTTTTTACTACCACTAAGGGCGCCTGTGGAAGTATGTCGTTCATCATTCCATATAAATGATGCTTGAGATGTTTGTTTTTTTCCCTGTGGTTGTGCCGAAAGAGGCTTTCTTTACTTTTGCTGCCCATGGGGTTTGATTCCTGAAAAGGCACCTGTGAAAAGTGGAATGCCAAGCAGGCATCCTACTTATTCTTGGGTAACTTTTAAGGGAGTTTTATTCCTAACCCGAAAAATTGGGATGTTTGGCCTATGATAGTACTTTATATTCAATGGTTGATGCCATTATTAAATTTCATGTTTTGAATCTTTTTGTGGAATTTTTTTTCTTGTGTCCTTAACATTTGTTTTATTTACACGCTTAATACTTTGGGATTCACTTACCCAAAAAATATGTTTTGGGATTTGTTATTTCAAGTTATTTGGTTTCCACTTGATGTTCGTCTGAAGTATACATCACCAACATTGACAAATGTTTGGATACGTGGGGTACAATAACTTTGTTTTATTGGGATGACCGGTCTTCATTTCCCATTGTCATGTATCTGCTACATTGTCCATGTATATGTCTTTTATAAATGTTCTACCCCTAGCTGTAGAACAGTGACCTTACACAGAAGGTACTTTGGGCTGCTTTGTTGTTTTGAAATGCTTAGTTTGTTAGAGTCATGTTGCAAAAGTTTTATTTGGCTCTGATCTTTGTAACTTTAATTATAGATATACATGTCAAGGAACCGCCGGGGGATGTCTTACTATTCATGACAGGACAAGTGCGTAATGTGGTTTAGCATTCAAAATGAATCTACTTGTTTGTCAGTTTCTTTGTTAATTTAACCCTTCAATCCTGTCTTCTTGTGAATGATTTTTTATCCATGCATGTGTAGGAAGATATAGAAAAAACAGTTTCAAAGTTGGAGGAGAGAATTCGGAGTTTGGAGGAAGGCTCTTGCATGGGTGCCATAATCCTTCCGCTTCATGGCTCCTTGCCTCCGGAGATGCAGGTGAGGCTTTATAATATATTTTCTTTCAAAAATGCATTTTAATGTCCTTAAATAAACCTTTGCGATCGAATATAAATATCATACATCCTTGCTTAATCTTTCACATCCAGCATTGTCACCATTGGTTGAGGGTGGTGCTTTGGATTCCCTTTCCAGCTGTGGTATGGTATTGGGGACACTCAGAAGACTGCTCCTTTGTCGATGGGATAAAACTGGTTTTTCCATTTTTATTCCACTTCCAAATTGCACGTTTTTGTGTGTTCATCAATATATGGCAGGCCCGAAATGTGGTCAGTTTTCAAAGCCACCCTTAATCTCTTTGTAATGCTTCTCCTGATTGGACCAAATCAAATTTCATCTTCATGTTTCGAGTTACGACCAAGGCATTTGGCCTAGTCTCTCATTTCATGAGCAATTGCATCTGATTATGGGTTTGCTTTCTTCATATTGAGAGGTATCCTTTTCTTTGTAATGTACTTTTCTATCGATGGTTTTCTTTTTGCTTTGCTGCAGGTAAGAGTATTTCAACCAGCACCCCAAAATTGCCGGAGATTCATTGTTGCCACAAATATTGCTGAAACATCTTTGACTGTGGATGGAGTTGTGTAAGAAGATATTTACTTCTGTTGGTGGGACCATAATTGTTGCTGACCGTTGCCTTTCTGTTGAGATTGTTCATCATAAATTTTCCTCTAATCTGCTTCCTCTGTACTTAAACACTGTTCTAACACCACTTTATGGTTTGGGATTCCTTCTGGCTTTGTGATGGTTCAGCATTCTTTTTAGGATGTCTTTCGTTTTTAATAATCTTGGAAGTGAACTGAACATTAATTAAAACTGACAGTTTCTCATATTGATATTCGTGTGGACACCTCTTTTAGTTGGATCAGTTGCATTGGCTGAGACAGATTTTTAAAAGAAAATTGGGAAACAAGGGAAGTTTCATAAAAAGGTCAAAAAAATAGAGAGGAAAAGTGGAAATTCATAATCAAATTTTTATTCGCTTACCACTTTAATTCTAATTTTTATTTTTTGAATCTATTATCCAGATAAACTTCTAATTATAGTCCAAAACACATTATGCACATAGGGAATGTTGCCCCTAAGGATGTCTTGCATTGATTCCTAGGTTTTTATCTATTCTAATAATGTACCCTTAGGTTCCTTGTGAAGATATTTGCATGTGAAAAACTGGGAAAACCAGTAGAACAGTTCTGTGAACCATGGGTTTAGAACTAACAGCCACAAAGCGGAGTAAATATATGAAGAATCCAGGCCTAACTAGTTCATTCTAGAATGACTTGTTGAGCTATATTATATGTTTATTGAACTGCTATTCTTTTGAGAATGACCTGTGGACCTAGAGCGAACTCATTTGACACAGTTTAATCCCTGCAAATCAACTGAATTTTAGTTGATTGGGTTAGGTTGCTAGGTTTTTTGTCAAACTAGTGAGACCAGGTTGGTGTAATGTATGGCCCAGGAAGTTACCTTGTGGGGTCTACTTTGGGCTATCGAGGCTTGGGCAGCCATTTCTCTAGCGATCTTGCCCCACAACAAGGTTCGTCATGCCTTTGGAGGGAACCTGTGGGATTTTTGTGATGATCGCCTATGCTCTTTGTTGTTGTATTAGGTAACCGTTGAATACTGTAATTCGAGTAATTTGAGATTGCATTTAACAATCCCAGAAAAATATTGGCATGCCGGATTTACGTATAATTTGTTCTTTTATACATGTAAATATTGGCGTGCTGGGTTTATGTGTTCATTTGATTTTTTACACATATCTTTCCATATAAACTTGGAATATTGGAATTACAAATGATTATTTCTTTTTATTTTTGTTAAATTTTGTTGTTTATGTTGATTCAAGCCTTCGATTATCTCAATGCTAATTACCCTTTTTTGGCAGGTACGTTATTGACTCAGGATATGTGAAGCAACGGTATTATAACCCTTCTAAGGGCATGTATTCTCTTGACATTGTTAAAATTAGCAGGTGAAGGGATTTTAGTTTTGGATCTTCCGAGATTCAATGAACTATTTTCATCTCTTGTATATTTTTGAATGCACTTCTGAATTTGTAACCAATTTCTATGGTATTAGTTGCTAATTTAGAGAACTTGATTGTTATTTGTTTTTGTTTTGATTAAGTCATGTGAGCTAGCAAAATTTTAAGCGGTTTTGTATTCATAGACTGTACCATTGTGGCTGTTATGTTTCGATTTAGAATTGTTCTCATTTATTTGATTTCATGTCTTTACTCTATTATACAAGGCATGCTCATACTGCAGTCATATGGTTTTTATTTGAAAGAAGTGGTTATGCGGAATTCAATGGAATAAGATATCTTTTCTTTTATGGGAAAGGTTTCTATACTTTCCCTACAACATAGAAAATATATACTTCCTGCTTCATCCATCCATCCAATTTAGCTCAAGTGAGCCACTGATTATTTGATCGAGATTCGATGTCTTAGAGTATTTTATTTTTAGTTTTTTTTTAATAATTGTTTGAATATGAAATTTGCTACGTGTCATCTTCTCAATGTGGCGCACTTATTGGGAATATTTTTTCTAATGTGAGTTTAAGAGAGGAATGGACGCTTAAAATTTGGTGTCAAAATATTTTGTAGAAAAAATTAAAAATAAAATAGTGTAGAGACGTGACATTGTGATTGGGGCCATCTCAGCCATCCATTCAGAATGAACGGTTGGAAAGGGGGAAGTATATATATTTTATACAGTAGGGGAACCTTAGAAAGCTCACCTTCTTTTATTAATGTATCTGAATTCCACTTAAAGGTGTTATATAACACTACTGTAAATAAGATATAAACCTTAAATACAACCTATGATCTTTGCTTTCACTGCCAAATAGAATAGACACAATCTAGTATTAAAAAATAAGCTTTGACTATGAACTTTAGTACAAATAATGTTCTTGGAATTACAAATAACAGGCAAAGTATGATTGAAAAATAAAACCAAATAGCTAGGAAGACTTACTTAATTTGCTTAAGGTCACCCTTTTAAGACTTAGTACATCCCACACTCAATTACCTGACCGATGATCCTATTGGTCTTGATGAATTTTCTGGGTCTGAAAGCTTCCTTAGGCGATATCTTTCAGATCTAGGGTTTTGGGAGCATAAACAAGGTTACCGTTTCTAGACCCTTTTTTAGACCTAGGGCATACCTTGAAAGGCACCTCCCTAGGTCTTACTGTGGGATAGGCGTGCCCCTCTCTATTATCTTTGGGTGGTGTGCCACCCTTAGTAGCTTAGGGTGGTGCGTGCCACCTTTTGGTGTTTAGAGAGGAGAGAGTGAGAAAGAGATAGAGAGATTGAGGCATGACGGAGAGTGAAGTAAGATAGAGAGGCTAGAATGTGTTGTAGAGAATGAGGTGGTTCCTCTCCTTATATTGACCTTAAGGGCCCTAGGTATGCCTTCCAAGTAACGACTCATCATGACCAATAGGCAATGCTCGAAAGGTTGGCCGCATTGAAAGGTGGACTATTTGACTGGGCAAGTGTACACCGATTAAAATTTTTCTATCTTTTCTTATGTATTGCCATCCGAATCACTCACAAGTGTCCGAATACAATGTATGAGCCAAATAAAATGCCAAGGACTCTCACTTACTTGCCATTAAAACAAAATTACATTCATAGCATAGATCTGAAAATTATATAAAGATGCAATTAAATCAAGAGAGCATAAAATGGGAAATTACCTCATACCTTGCCTTAGGTTACCTCAAGGACCTAGCACACCCCATGCCGGGTCTCCTCCTCGAATGCCACACAGGATCTAGGTCCAAACTTGTCTCATAACTTTGGAAGCCTAGGCAAAACTAGAAGAAACCACAACATGGGATAATCTAAACAAAGACTCAACACTTGAGCACAAGGCCAAGACCTATGGCTAGGCTTTGTGTCTTGGGCGTGAAAGGTGTGGTTATGTGGAACTCAAGGTATTAAATTAAAAAATTATTTTATTTTTATTTCGACTACTTGAATTCCACTTATATGTGCCAAAATATATTGCTGAAAAATTAAAACAATGCCCTAAATACAACTTAGGATCTTTATTTTCACTGTCAAGAGACAGAAATTATCCATAAACGTTAAACTAACTTTTTTTGCAATTCTTAACACAATAAGTTCCTGGATATTTACAGAAAAATAAAAAATAAAACTGAAAAATAAATAAAAACTACTGATAAGACTTTCTTGAAGATTCCTGAAGTTAGCTAACCAGGACTTGGTACACCCACACCTGATTACCTGACCAATGACGCACTTTTGCTCTTTAAGATGTTGCTGAAAATTCTAAGATAAGGAAGCTTTATAGGCAATCCTTCTTCTTCTAGGGTTTTAGAGAGCTCAAGAATAACATAGGGTTTATGGAAACTTTATAGGAACAAAATAGGCTGATCTTCAAAACAACAAACCTATTTTTAATTCCTCTGCTTTTTCTTCTTCAAAAATGAATTACTCAAAATAAAACAAGAGAGAGGAGAGAGAGTGCGTGACTCTCTAGGCTGGAGAGAGGGTGGCATGATGCCCAAAAATTAAGAGAGAGAGACATATGAGAGAGAGGTCTCTCTTTAGTTTGTGCATGGAAGAAAGGGGAGAGAGAAGGTGGCGTGAGAGAGATCCCCCACCTTTTGGTGCGTGAAGGGGAGAGAGAGGGATTCACTCAGAGAGAGGGATCCCCACTTTTTGGTGCGGGAGGGGGAGAGAGAGATCCTCCCAATTTGGTGTGTGAAGGAGAGAGAGAGATCCGCACTTTTTGGTGCGTGAGGGAGAGAGAGAGAAGGTTCTTTGGGAGAGAGAAAAAAGATCCGATTGGATCTCAAAAAAGTTCAAAGTCGGTCTTTAAATAGAAGAAATCTAGAAAAACCTATCTCCTAGTTTTAATAGGATTTCCCTTATCTAATTTCCAACTAAACCTTTTAGGAAAAATAATAAATATGTGGGGTAAGAGATTAATTAGAGCCATCCATCCCAAAAATCAGCCATCATGATTTTGGGTTGAAAGATTAGGATCTTTATCTCTTTATAGTTTGACCCAATCCACTCTTATTTTGAATAAATCCAATCAAATTTAAACTTTATCTTTTTGAATTTGAATCAAACTTAATTTTTTTTTGATAAAAATTATATAGAATTCCCACAATATTGAGAAACCATATCTCATTAGATTTCCATCTTTAGATTTAGGAAGTTTAAATTTCAAACAAATAAAGTTTAAAATAAGAGTGGGCGTGTCCTAATAAAGTCCCATGACCCATAGTCTCTTTGCAAAAGCTCATGATTGGTTTGTCAAAGTTGGATAATAAACATTAGGACTATGATTCTGGAATGTGGATTTCAATTCCCCCTTTAATATAAAATCTAGCATTTGTCATTCAGTACAAAGGGAGCTCTCTCTATGCACATGTACACGTATCCCTCTAGAAAGGGCTGCTTCCCATGTGGTTGTCATGTGTACATATCGTGCGGAAGTATGTTAAGGTTTTGACCGTTGCTCTCACAGGCATACAACTGCTCGCAGGAGACTACACTATTCTCCTGGCCTACAAACATGATCCCTAGGCATCTCTTTGACCTCGACAAGGGATGACCCACTGTAAACCCTTCTCGGTTGTACCACATGCTCAGGGCCAAGAGTTTTGGATGTGACCAGGGCCATAAACTGCTCAACCTTTGGTCAATCAACATACACATTCCCACTGAAGTGCATATTCCACTATTCATCATTTTTACAGGCTCTCTAGGCCTTTAAAGGCCACAAAACCCAACAGAGAGGGTTGTGCTATCACTTTGGCTTAGAGAGAAAAAGTCAAAGGTAAGAAGTGTAGAGAAAAGAGGCCCCCTATGGCTAGTATATATAGCACAAAGGCTAGGGTTTTTCCATCATTATGAGATTTAATCTTGACCTTTGATAATGGAGACTTGTGGGGTGAAGAGATCTCATCTATTCATTCCTTAGATAAGCCATTATGATTAAAATGAATGAGGTGGAACCATTATCCCTCAGTTTTCATAACTCCTTTCTTATCAACTATTATGTAGAGAAAATACTAAATCAAATTTAATAAATTTCTTACACTTTCCCTTTTGAAATCAATCAAAATCTCTATACCAACTCTATCTTATAAGGTTCCATTCAATTGCATGCTTTATGACACAAGGCACATAATAGGAAGGTGAGAAAATAAGGTGGGGCGCACCACCTTATAGGTGGCCATGTGGGCTCCACTCCTCACTAATTGGTGGGCCCAATAAGTCCCAATTGGCTCCCAATATATAAAGTATAATTTACAAGTATTAAAATAAATTTTATGATGTCATCGGACATTTTATTTTTCTCTGAGTAAAATAAAACCAAAAAAATAATTTTTTATTTAAAAGTTATTTTTCAATAAAATAAAATATCAGAGAGGTCTAATGGGAATTGGATCCATGGAGTTAGGATTACAACAAATATATTGAGGACTTCATCCTTTCTGGAGGCCGTATCTCACTGAACCTTTTCAAACGGGCTCAATTGTTTCTTTGACCCATAGCCCTTTGCAGGGGTTCATGATTGGACTATCAAAGTCAACTAATAGAAGGAGGCACGATCCTAGTTCATGGTTTACATTTCACCCCACTCCCTGAGGTCAAGTCCAGGCCCCATTCCAATACTATGATCCATGGGTGTTTCCATCATAGTCCAGTATTGCAGAGAGTCATCTTTGAGCCGCAGCCAATCAAAGCTCAGATGAATCTTAGCACTAACAATGCCTCATAGTCCAAAGTGGGCCACACTCCCACTAGAGCTAACATTTCACTATAATGCTTTTAGTACATGCTTTCATAAGGCCTTTAAATGGCCATATAACCCCAACATCTCCCACTTGGCCTTTGAAGGCCTTACAATCTCTCTTCCCGACTCTTTCTCAGCCCCTTCCCATGTACATGTTTGGCGAACGTTTTTGCCACCAGCC